TTCTCAGTAGTGACAGATGGCAGAACAAGGAGCAATGGTCTCAAGTTATGGTGGGAGAGGTCCAGGGTGGATATTAGGAAAAACTATTTCACTAGGAGGGTGGTGAAGCACTGGAATGGGTTACCTAGGGAAGTAGTGGAGTCTCCATCCCTAGAGGTGTTTAAGTCCCTGCTTGACAAAGCCCTGGCCGGGTTGCTTTAGATGGGGAGAGGGCCAGATTGGATATTAGGAAAAACTATTTTACTAGGAGGGTAGTGAAGCATTGGAATGGGTTACCTAGGGAAGTAGTGGAGTCTCCATCCCTAGAGGTGTTTAAGTCTCGGCTTGACAAAGCCCTGGCCGGGGTGATTTAGATGGGATTGGTCCTGCCTAGAGCGGAGGGCTGGACTTGACGACCTTCTGAGGTCTCTTCCAGTTCTATGATTCTATGATAAGGGGATGGTTGGATGAAATAACATGATCTTGGTAACTAATTGACCATTCATTATAGGGAACTTTCTGGGTGTCTGGCTGGTGAGTCTTGCCCACATGCTCAGGGTTTAGCTGATCGCCATATTTGGGGTCAGGAAGGAATTTTCCTCCAGGGTAGATTGGCAGAGGCCCTGGAGGTTTTTCGCCTTCCTCTGTAGCATTGGGCACAGATCACAGCTGAAGGACTCTCTGCATGTTGGGGCCTTCAAAGTATTGGAGGGCTTCAATATCTGAGACATAGGTGAGAGGATTATTCTAAGAGGGGTGGGTGAGATTCTGTGGCCTGCACTGTGCAGGGGGTCAGACTAGATGATCATAATGGTCCCTTCTGACCTTAAAGTCTATGAGTCTATGAAAGTAGGTTGCACAGTTGTTCCAGCTACCATATGAGATGAGATGTATATTACCCAATACATTAGGAGTACTAGCAAGGCCAATTTTGAATCACCACGCCTGTTCCATAACAACGCTTCTGGCATTGTGTCTGAAACTTAAATTAAATAGATTTAAAAAAGCCACCCAAATTTCATTCCGGCAAGCATAACATTTTGCCAAATATATAAACACACCTGAATGAAAAAGGAGGGCATATTTCTTCTTCTGCAAAGTGAGAACAGGATACATAGAATATTTGTTGAGTTAACATCTTTGAATATACTGAGATACTATGATTGGTTTTATGGATATCTTTACACCATTTTTCTAAGTGTTAATGAACTGTTGCTGTGACATCAAGTAATCGCTTGTACAAAGTAATGGCCTGCACAAAGTAATATCTAGCAAATTATCACCACCACTATGTAAAAAAGGAGAGAGAGAGAGAGAGAGAGAGAGAAGATTGTGACAATATTTTTTCCTGTTGCAATTCATAATTAATGTGCGTTGGAGCATTACATAAAAGATAATCACAAGTGTCCTTCCTAACAGACATATATCATATATAAGTAAAAACAAAATAAAAAAGTCACATGGTCAGGTAATCTGAAGTATCCCTTATTGGATTTACACACTAAAATAAATAAATAAAATATAAAAACCAAGTCAGTTCATTGAGTGAACAGAATACCTCACAAAATTATAATTAGTAACAACTTATTTTTTTTATCTTGGATCTCATATTCTGATGAATTTTAACATTTAACTATGGTATCCTGATGGGTTTATTTTATTTTTCACATAACCAGAATAAGCAACATTGTGTTTAGTGAAAATTATAAACTCAAAAAGTTAACTGTTTATGATTTTTCTGCAAGGTTCCTGTTCCCTGGGATTTTATTACTCATTTGTTGTATATCTTCAATCTGTCCTTCTATTTTAAAAAAAACATACAGTAGTAAATATTTATGCCACTCCTATAAAAAGTAGTCCTTTCTGAGTCAAATAAGAAATTAGGGAGGGTTTGTCTCAGGTAGAGCTATGGTCCACTGTGGCACTATAACTGGTGAGGGAAGAAATGCAAGTGAAATATCTATAAAATTGTTCTTTATGCTGATATATTACACAAAAAACTGTTGAATTTTTACCCTGTTGCGCCAATTCTTGTCCCCATATTTTTCTTTCCATTTTTAATCCTTCAATTACAGATTCTTGGGCTGTCAGTTGAGAAATAAGTTTTGATTTTTCCTGTTTAAGGAGTTCAATTTGAATAGTTTTTTGTTTGTCCTCCTCAACCATACTTTCAAGTGTTCGGATTCGATTCTATATATAAGAGTAAATAATAGAGGAAAAACAATAAGTTTCTGTAAGATAAATAGTCAGAAATTCAGTACTATTAACACCATTCAACTATGACCGTTAATTCTAATTAGCTATATTTAAGTGGCTATTCTATTGCACAGGTGTTGTCTGATAAAAATTGGCATCTTTTACCAGCAATGAAGCACAGACGCTTCATCTGTCAACATTGTTTACACATTTCCCCCCCACAAACCTAATTATATAAAGTTTTCTTGTAAATATATATTTATATAATTTAAAGGAAGGTAGGATAACTTTGTAATTAAAAGAAGTTCCAAAAATTCTGAAAAGAGGAAGTGGAAAATTTAGGTTGCACAGCAGAAGTTAATTCAAAGGAAACAAATGAAGGCTGCACTGAGGTGAGCTGTCATCCCTTGAGACATTGCATATAACATGAAACATGCCATGTCCATTTTTCCCATCTTATGAATATGCTTTTATAAAAAAGTATTATGTACTTTTAAAATAATTTCTAAGAATCATCAAGTCTTCAGCAGTTATTCTCTGACAAATTCCATTTGGCATAATACTACAATAAATTTGAGAACCTATCTTCTTTTTGAAAGCAGACTTAATTCAAGTTACTTATTTAGTGTCAAGAGACTGCAGATTGCTATGCATATCTTTTCACTGGCTTCTTGGAAAAAGCTACAAGAAAAAGTTCATGATAGATAGACTTATATTTAACAGCTGGAAGGCCTGGTCATAATATTGTTATGGCCATTTGTGATTATAATATTGTAGATAATATTTACAGAGTGTGCTGCATACTAGAGATATAAGCGACTAGTCAACTATCTGATAAGCAAAAGCTTATTGGATAGTTGACTAGTCGCTTCTCCCCGTGCTGGGGGAAACAGGAGGAACGAGGGGAGCAGGAGCTGATGCTGGGGAGGGCCAGCTTAAAAGCCAGTTCCCCCAAGCACCGTCTCTGCAGGGGTAGGGGGGACCAGGTGTGAGTTAGGAATCAGCTGATTCCCAGTTTGCGCCCAAGGGGGTAGCGGGGACCAGGTGTGAGTTAGGAATCAGCTGATTCCCAGTTTGCGCCCAGTCCCAAACACTGCACTTCTGTTGATTCCTGGCTCGCTCTGGGTCCATCCCCCACCCCCCGCACTGCGCTTTAGCTTTTTAAATGCCAATAGGCTCTTAATACAGTTAAAAGGCAGTGCCACAGCTAACCCTGCTGCAGCTCCCTCGCTTATCAACTAATCGACTAGTTGATTAAACTACATTTAACATCCCTACTAATGTAAATTACATGTAGTTGCTATTATATCATTATGTAATTACTGTAATAATGTTCATTATATAAATCCTAGTAACAGTACTTTATGCAGTACTTAGCAAGTAAATGAACTAATTTGTGTCCAACCATTTTAAAATAACTGTTCTGCAGCTAAAACACAGTCATTTCTGAGTTTACAAAAAAAAAAAGAGAAAAAAGAAATCACAGTATTAGATATTCTCTGAATCTCAGTTTCCAGTAGTTACTGTCATGTACAATTTGTTAACATTGCAAAATAGGAGTGCAATTGTGAGGAATTGTATGAGTGTGTATTTGGCTATAACTGTGCACCTGAGACGTCAATGTGTGACTGTTAAGGACACAAGAATTGAGTTTGTTATGAATACTAATATTGGCTAAAAATGGAATAAGGAAATGCGTAATGTTAATTTTAAGATGAAATATGTCTAGTATAGATAGGTTCGACACCCTCGAGACTTGACTGGTCCTGGATGAGGGATTTTTCTGAAACAGGGAGGTCTTTTCTCACCCTTCTGCTGCCAGCACCACAGGGCTTCCTGGCTCGCCTAGCAAGGTCATAAACTGGGCTTCCTACTCCCCCTCTGCTGCTGCTCCCCACATGCCAGACTCAGTTGAGCTGCGTGGGGAGCTACGCACTGGCTCCAGCACCTCATCAGGCCAAGATCCTGCCTCCTTTTTCCCCCTGGAATATCTGTAGTCTGGCCAAACCAGCGAGTCATAGTTTATAGAGATGCAACCTGTATTGTTAATGTTGCAATTTCTTGTCTAAAATACTTTATAATTTTAAAAAAAGGCTTAAAAACATATACCTTTAGATTTGCTGTTGTTTCTTGTTTTGATTTTACTACCTCCGCAATCCTTGTTTTCTGTTCTTTCACCATGGATGTCAGCTCTTGAATCAGAGCTGCTGACTGCTTTTCCTTTTGCTGAGATTGAAACAGGGCACACTTATGTTCTGCTAACTCAGCAGTAACATTTTCAAAACCATCCTTTACCTGTATGATGAAAAGATGTTAATAAAAAGATTAGCTTTCCAAATGTGTCGGAGTTGGGTAGATTGGAAATACAATCTGGTAATCTGAAATAATGGAAGTGAGACTAATTCCATACATTCCGAAAGGCATTTTATATTACTTGATGTATGTTAAATTATGAATGCATGGAATTTACTAAGTCAAACTAAATGAAAAATGTTTGAAATACCATTATCACAAGATTAAATTAAAGCCAATGTTAATCTCTCTCTCTCATATATATAAAAAAACTTTTTCTGCGGGATGAGAGAGTGATGTCATAACATCACTCTGCGTCCTGCAGCCCCTCCTTCCCTGGAGCTCTGTGGCTGGAGGGAAGAGTGAGGGCCCAGCAAGGCCACGGAGAGGCCTCCATCTCCCCTGCAGGCTAGGGGGAATAGTGTGTGGCCTGCGTGGCCCAAAGCCATCAATTGCATGGCCTTCCCCCGTCATGGGGGGAGGCAGCAGCCGGAGGTAGAGATCTGGGGCAGCTGCTGCCTCAGCTCAGCTCAGCCTGGCTCCCCCCAGAAGCTGGGCAGGGGGGAGGAGGGGAGAAGAGAGGACGAGCTGGGGTTGTGTATCCCCAAACAGGGAGGTTCATGAGCGTAGTGAGCAGGTGGCATTGTCCCCTAATAACTTACTCATTGTTGATTAACGAGCAAGGCAAGAAAAGGGTTTTTTTGTTTTTGTTTAAGAGTACAGAATTTTACAATCTCCATGATACTACACATTTTGCAATACACTATCTTAATCTTACCTCTTTAAACCTTTTGGCTTCAATAGTTAAAGCAACACGAAATTCATTTTCTAGCTCCATATACTGCTGGTTTAACATACTTATTTTCTCTTGAAATTCTTTAATACGTTCTTCATGCCTCTGCTTTTCTTTAGCCATTTCTTTTGACAATGCATCTTGGAATTCAGATCCATTCAAAGCAACTCGGGTTTCAAGTTCTCTCCTGGAGTTACCAAACATATGTATATTACATTTAGAATTACAGTATCTTTCAATACTAGGTTTATTATAAAAAATTAAAAACTATGTAATAAGATAAAATCCACGTATTTTCATTATTGTCCTTCAAGTAACACTCAGTTTTTATGAAGGTCAAAGAACAGTGAGCAGATAATCCATGTTTCATACTTCAGTATAACAGCACAATTCCAATAAAGAGGGAAAAACAAACTATTTAGTGGGGAGGGGAACCCCACAGTTGTAATTGCCTAAGGATGCTGATGGATGTTTCCCTTAGCATCAAGCATCAGTTAACATACCTTCATTCTCAGGGCTTGACAAACGGCTGAATTTCAGCCAGTTGCTCCGTGTGCCCCATTCACCGGTGCTTCGCGCATGTGCAGTGCCAGTCTGGCGCATGCGTGGTGCGGGGCTGGCGAGTAGCTCTTGTAATTTCTTGAAACTTTAAAAGACTGCTTCTTGGAGCAGCTGGTTCTGGAACCCACAAGGGGGAGAGGCTATTCTTGATTTAGTCCTAACTGAAGTGCAGGATCTGATTCAAGAGGTAAATGTAACTGGATTGCTTGGAAATAGTGACCATAATATAATAAAATTTAACATCCCTGTGGTGAGAAAAACCTCAGCAGCCTAACACTGTGGCATTTAATTTCAGAAAGGGAAACTACACAAAAATGAGGAAGTTAAACAAATTAAAAGGTACAGTGACAAAAGTAAAATCCCTTCAAGATGCATGGAAACTTTTCAAAGACACCATGATAGAGGCCCAACTTAAATGTATACCCCAAATTAAAAAATACAATAAGAGAACAAAAAAAGTGTCACCATGGCTTAACAACCAACTAAAAGAAGCAGTAAGAGATAAAAAGGTCTCTTTTTAAAAGTGGAAGTCAAATCCTAGTGAAGAAAATAGAAAGGACCATAAACTTTGTCAAATTAAATGTAAAAATATAATAAAGAAAAGCCAAAAAGGATTTTGAAGAACAGCTAGCCAAAAACTAAAAAAGTAATAGCAAAATGTTTTTTAATTACATCAGAAGCAGGAAGCCGTCTAAACAACCATTGGGGCCCTTGGATAATCGAGATGCTAAAGGAGCCCTCAAAGATGATAAAGCCAGAGTGGAGAAGCTAAATGAATTCTTTGCTTCACTCTTCATGGTGGAGGATATTGGAGACATTCCCAAACCTGAGCCATTCTTTTTAGGTGACAAATCTGGGGAAATGTCCCAGATTGAGGTGTCATTAACAGAGGTTTTGGGACAAATTGATAAACTTAACAGTAAGAAATCACTGCATCCGATGGCATTCACCCAAGAGTTCTGAAAGAACTCAAATGGGAAATTGCAGAACTACTAACGGTGGTTTGTAACCTATCCTTTATATCGGTTTCCGTACCTAATGATTGGAAGATAGCTAAAGTGACGCCAATATTTAAAAAGGGCTCTAGAGGTGATCCTGGCAATTACAGACTGCTAAGTCTAACGTCAGTACTGGGCAAATTAGTTGAAACTATAGTAAAGAATGAAATTGTCAGAACATGGATGAATATAATTTATTGGGGGAAGTCAACATGGTTTCTGTAAAGGGAAATCACACATTACTAATCTGCTAGAGTTCTTTGGGGGGCAAAAGAGGGGGTCAACACACATGTGGACAAGAGGGATCCAGTGGATATAGTATAGTTAGATTTCCAGAAATCCTTTGACAAGGTCCCACAATAAAGGTTCTTAAGTAAAGTAAGCTGTCATGGGATAAGAGCGAAGGTCCTTATGTGGATTGATAACTGGTTAAAAGACAGGAAAAAGAGAGTTACTCACCTGGTGCAGTAACGTCTGTTCTTCGAGATGTGTCCCCCCGTGGGTGCTCCACTCGAGGTGCTGGGCTCGTCCCGGCACTGCAAACCGGAGGAATTTTCACTAGCAGTAGCCCCCTGCCGGACCGCGCATGCGCGAGTGTCCCCTTCGCGCCTTTCATCTGAGCGCGGTCCGGTCTCGTCAGTTTCCTCCCAACCGGAAGCATCTGAAAGACATAAATAGAGGCTCCGAAGCAGGGAGGAGGGTGGGACGTGGAGCACCCACGGGGACACACATCTCGAAGAACAGACGTTACTGCAACAGGGCCCCGAGGGTGCTCCACTCGAAGTGAGTACACAGCAGTGGTCCAGCGTGACCTGAGTGCTTCGGACCTATCGCTTTCGGGCTGTAGACAAGACAGCCTGAGCTACCCTCGAATCGGAGTTAAGTATGTTCGCACGGGCATAGTGTTTAGCGAATGTGAGGGTGGACGACCAGGTTGCTGCACGGCATATGTCCTGCAATGGTACTCCACGAAGATAGGCAATGGATGTAGCTATGCTCCGGGTGGAATGAGCACGAAGACCGCTCGGAAGAGACTTGTTGCGCAAGGC